TTTTTTAATATATCTTTATTGATTTTAGAGAGAGGAAGGGAGAGGGGGAGAGAGATAGAAACATCAATGATGAGAGTTATTGATCAGCTGTCTCTTGCACGCCCCCTACCAGGGATGGGGCCTGCAACCCAGGCATGTGCCCTGACCGGGAATCAAACCACGATCTCCTGGATCCTAGGTCAGTGCTCATCTGCTGAGCCACATCAGCCGGGCCAGTTTTATTCTTTTAAAAATGACAACAGAGAAACAGTTTTTGTGGAGGCAAGTTTTGATTGAAATAAAATTGTTTAAATTATCTATCAAGATGAAAAATACTTTGATTTTTAATAAACAATACATCTGTTTCAACTCAGATATTGGTTTTATTTTTAGAAAATTTATTCTGTATATTAAGTAGTAAATTATTTCTTAAAAGTTGAGTTTACAGCTACCCCAGAAAAATGAAAAATTCAAAATCCAGTCCTTAACTGCACACTTAGTACTGTACTTATTGTTAATGCTGCTGTCTGGGGACTGTACTTCGAGAACCACTGATGTAGAGGCTAAGAAGTATCAGTCAGAGTAGTTTAAAACCTCTCTGAAGCAGTAAAGTGTCATCATAAGCTGTGAGTGAGAGGATACTATATAAAATGCATATGGGATTTTTCTGTAGTGTCAGTATATAGAATTGATAAAAGAGAAGCACTGAAGTCAGGGAGGTAGCTAGGAGGCTATTGTAATAATAAGATAGCTATAAAATCGTGAGGGCCAGGGATAGAGTGGTAGCAATGGCAATAGGAGAGGAGTGAATTTAAGAGGTTTTTAAAGAATTTGTTTATCGAAGTAGATACTTGTAAACACTTTAGGATGTGAACCAGCTCTAAAACGAGAAGTTAATCAAGTATTTGGGAAATAGTTTTTCAAGCTGCATTAGAAAGTTAAGCCATCAAATAGTGGTGGTATGGGTACATGGCCTTGTGACTGAAATTCCAAAAAGCTATGAAAACATGACCTGAACTATTTTAATCTTATTTGCCCTGCTTAATGTGAATATTTATACATTTATATATTTTATTCAGCAATATTAGAGTGGATAAGGGATTTTGGATCTGTAGTAGGAGGAGGTAGTAATAGGAATTTTAGATATTTTAACTTTCAAACAAAACAACTTATTCCTCTAAGATATGGTTTGTTAAGCTAGTTCATCTCACATATTCTTGCGAATTAAGTAGAGGATCTTCAAAAGCTGAAAATGTATGAATTTTCTCAACTTTAAAAAACTGATTTGTAGTTTAAGGAACTATAATAATACAACAAACATGAAACTTTAATATCACTACGTAATATCACTCAATTCTCTTTCTCTGCTCATTAGTATTTATAAGTTTTCACATACATAAAAGTTCTCATAGCTGTTATGTTATTTGGGGACTCTTTTTTCCTGCTCCTGTTTTATAGAATCTTTATCATATATTGATAAAGTCATTGTGCTTGTCATTTTTAATAGCCTGTTAATGCCATACTTTACTTAGACATTTTATTTGAGGCTTCTTAATCTATTTGTGTGTGTGTGCGCGCGCGCGCGCATTGGAATTGATTTCTGATACACTGGCCTACCAACACCTTGGTGTTTCTTCAGTTGCCACCAATCCGTACAGTATTTCAGTTTTCCACACAAATTTAGTAGTAATCCTTTGTAGCCCTCTCCAAAGGAGGGAGAGTTCGTACTGGAGATCCAACAGTGTGTGGCTTTATTGCAGGGAAGCAGGAAAGTGACTGAATAGAGATTTACTATTTCAGGATCAAATCAATCATAGGCGAAATGCCAGAAACCTACCTCTTAGTTTGACTTACATACTTTTCCAGTAATACCTGGTTGGTTTTTCTGTCTGTGAGTACGTGTATGTGTCTGTGTGCTATAGAGAGATTGTATTTGTGATCACTTGTTTGACATTGTTGTCATGATTTTCTGTTTGATTATTTGGATATCATTTTCTTTCCAGATTTGGGAACAATGTGTGAGAATGGTACTCCCTTGTTTGGTTCTTTTTCAAGCTGTATATGCTTGGTTTCTATAGAGATTCATTGGCAAAATGCTTTCTGTGTTCAGATTATATTAATTTATAGTAAATATTGGCCTTGCTTTTGTGTTGACCTTTGTCCTATAAGATACTTTTTCTTTATTCTAACACATGGCTTTGTAGAGTTACAGGCAAGGTTCCTCTCCTTAGTTCCATTTTACCTCTGTTCTATGAATCTATTTTGTTCTAGTTCCTTTTCCCTTTCCTTTCCTGTCTTTTCCTATCTTTTCTTCCTCCTTCCTTCCTTCTTTCCTTCCTTTCTCCCTTCTTTTTATTTAAATTTTAGCTTAGTTCATTAATTCTGTTTTTAGGTCGGATGATGAGCAGAGCTCTGCGGATAAAGAGAGACTCGCCAGGTAGGAGAACAGTTACCTTTTAGCATGATGAAGCAGATAATGCTGCTTTTTCTATCCTTTTTCTTACTCTGCTCTTTTCTTCCCCTTTCTCTTTGTGTTTTTCCTTATCTGTGGCAAGAGGGGACAAGATTTTTTAGAAGTTTGTGCGTAATAGGGACGTTGGCTTCCCCCATCAGAAAGTGAGTGGTGAGTTGAGGAAATTTTACTTAGGAATTTAAAAAATTGCTATTAGTTTTATAGTTTTCTCTTTTCCTCTTTTTCCCAGCACTAAGTTTCAGAAGAAAAAACCTTTAGAAACAGTGTAGCTGTGCCAGTTGGTGCTCTAACAGGGAAATACTCTTTTATCAGAAAATTAATAAATATGCCTGTGTTTGTAATTAGTTCGTGGCCTTTAAGCCTCAGCCTTTATTTCACACCTCTGGAAAGCTCACCCTTATTTTCCTGTGTACACTCACAGCCTTGATTACTATTGTCACAGCAGTACTGGTGTTGCTCTGGTGATTGAATCTTTTGTGGTTTCCCAGAAAAATTTCAGCAGCCTTGATGTGGCATTTAAAAGATCAGTTTTCTGGACTTCAGTGTCAGAAATCTGTCAGATACTAAGAAGATAGGTGCTTTAATTTTGAGAGCAGAATTTCATGTTTCTCAGATAAAATAACTATATGTGGACCTCTGTGGTGAGACCGTTTTTCTGTTTTTCTGTTTTCTGGTCTCTGTGATTTGGGAGAATGCAGTAGGAGATAGCTCATTGATCCCAACACCTATTTTTACTACTTTCCTTTCTTATATGTCATTACCTGTTTCCTCTGGGTCACAGGCTTATTTTGCTGCCATTTCAACTCATGCCTCCTACTAACTCTTTCACCCTTCTGAAAACTGATTTGGCATGGTATGGTGGGAAGAGCATTGCATTTATTGGTATGAAGGCAGCCCTTGGAAAAGTTGCCTAATTAAACTGTTTCACCTTAGTTTGCTCTTCTCATAAAAAAGAGATTTATGTTAGATTAGTTCTATTTTTTCTTTTTGTTTTGATAAAGAACTTTTGTTCAAATAGAATCCTTACATGATAGTAGAAGTAAATAAAGCTGCCGAGGTAGCAGAAATGCAGTATGTTGTTTGGTTCTCTCTTTGAGGCATCTCCATGAAAACTCTGAGGAACTATTGGGCTTTTCAAAAATCCAATTTGAAAGTATTGGATTATTATTTTTAACGATACCATCCTATCTTGATTTTGAGGATGTCACTATTAGAGAGATGACCTCCTTACCCCAATGAAACACAGAAGGTCTGTTTACTTACAGGCCTTTTCATCCTCCTCCCCACTGCACTGCTGTGCTCCAGTCCACTTTGTCCCAAGTTGGGGGCCACATCAGGGACCTCTGATAGATAGTCTTACAGTCTCTTGAGCTCAGTGCACTGGCACCACACCAAGATAGAGAAGGGAGGACTTTGTGCATTAGTGGGACAAATAAAACTTCAAAATCTTTTAATTCTGTCTTCTAGTGTTGAGAATAAGAGCGAAGCTTAGAACAAACAACATTTTATAGACCAATGATATCTATACTGTTAATTCTTGTATCAGCTGTTGAGCAACATACTTGTATTGGAAAAAAATTGGTCATTTTATCTTTTCAGCTTTTAAATAGTTGAATTAGTAAACATGGAGTCAGCCAAGCTGAGATTATTTTGTCTCTCAGGAACGTAAGTGTCTAAAATCAACATTTTTTAAGACTCATTTCTTAAATTTTTTTTTTGTTCTGAGGGAATGGTAATTTGCATAGAAGATGAAGTTTCCAGGAAATAGACTTGCTGGTATCTACTTATTCTCTGTTCCCCTTGTTAGTTTCTGTTCCATGCTTGCTCTGCATGAGAAGGTTGGCAAACCTTACTCTAACTTCTCAGACTTAAGCATCCTTGAATCTAAAGACCACATTTCTTCAGCAGCTCACTTGGCATCCATATCACTCTCCCAGCTTTCAAATGTTGAGATGTGACCACCTGGATGGGACTTCTCCTCTCTCTTTCTATGCAGGGAAAATCATAGTGAAATTGAACGACGGCGACGGAACAAGATGACAGCCTACATCACAGAACTGTCAGACATGGTACCCACCTGTAGTGCCCTGGCTCGAAAACCAGACAAGCTAACCATCTTACGCATGGCAGTTTCTCACATGAAGTCCTTGCGAGGAACTGGCAACACATCCACCGATGGCACCTACAAGCCATCTTTCCTCACTGATCAGGTCTCTGGGATGTACAGCTCTGAGAGTGTCTAGAATCTGTTGAAAGTTTTGATCTTTTTGGAGTAGATGACCATAATTCTGAATAGAGGGTGTCATAGCAGACCTGAATCTATAGATTGTTTAAAGGACAAGAATTCAGCTCTTAAGGAAAAATTCAGACCATGGGAACATTGAATTTTGATCCCTGGCTATAACATTTGTTAGCACTGAAATAGAAGTAGAGACGACTTGTGAAAACTGTTTAGCAAGCTTATAAGTATTGTAGAACTTCACTCATAAATGCAGCCTGTAAGGTAGGAGAAGAACAATGGAATCACTGGGAGAAGTGATGACTGTGTCTATGCAGCCAGTCTTCTTCCTTGGCTTTCAGGTTATGGAAGGTGGAAGAAATTTGTTTCTTGTTCGTGAAGCAGCTTCCAGTTTTAGTGATAAAAGGAGTCTAACAAGCAGTCGTCATTGCTTAATGATTTGTTCTTACATTTGATGCATTATGGAAAGAATTGAGAAGGCAAAAGCATTTCCAGCCTTTCATGAACTCAGCTGAATATGAATATGTGAGTAGCAGGAAACATACAAAAGAGAAAAATGATAGGAAAATGCATACAGAGAAGAAATGCCTTTTAAAAAAAACTTAATTTATATGGGACTAGAAAACAGAAGATGTATACTGGAGAAATTGCTGAAGTGAATAGAATGACCAGGCCTGAGTGAGGATGGTCAGCAGTGACTTCTAAGAGTAAGGAAGCCACGTTCTGTTTTGATTATGAGAAATAACTAACACGGGGTTACTGCAGAAAAATTTGGAAAATCCAGGAAGTATAAGGAAGAAAGAAATTTACCTATAATGCTGCTCTTTTATTCAAAGGATTAAAAGAAAGGAAGGAATATGATTTGGAAGAAAGCAGTAAGAAGAATTTTCCAAAAAGGATGATCTATATGAAAGCACATATAGCACAGATTATATATATATATATATATGCACATTGAAATAATCAGTTCTAATAGTACTCATACAGATGTTGATTCAACAAACTCTAGTTATGTACCTTTTGTGGGCTAACCAGGTGCTTTGTGCTGTGAGAAATATAAAGAATGATAAGAGATTGTCACTGATGGAAATACACATGTAAATAAATGAATCATAAACACAGAATCAGCTCTATAGTAAAAGTTCAGTAAAAAGTTCTATAGAAGTGCAAGTATGGAAAACAAAAAACGAGAACAGTGTAAATTTTGGGAATACTATAACTTGAGCAATGTGAGAACAGAGTCTAGTGAGAGTGGTTGAGTTATTAAAGAAAATCAAGTAGTTTAGCATGCCCTGGAACATGATAACAGGAAGGTAGGCTGAGATCCAGTGATTAAATATTTAGGTGTTATGTTAAAGAATTGAGATTTTAATTTTTAAGCACTGGGGAGCCATCACTTAAGACTTGAAGCAGAGAAAGGACATTTAGAAAGGAAACAAAGGTTGGAGTGTGATGCCATAGAAGCTAGGGGAAGATAAAATTTAAAGGATAGAATTGTCAGATTCTGCAGAGATTGAAGAAAATGGTAAAGACCTAGGAAAGGGGCCTTAAATTGGTAATTAGGAGGATTTGACTTGGCAATTAGTAACCTCCTGAAAAATACATAAATGCTATGGTTTAGAGTGAAGATTGCAGTGGGATTAAGAAATGAAAGGTAAGAGACTAGAGCCAGTGAATATAACATTATTCTTGGTATATAATCATGGCACTGAAAAAGATAGGAGTTTGACAAAGTTGAGGGAAGATTTGTGTAGAATTGTATAGATCTGAGGGGCAAGAAAGAAAACAGGAACATTTGTAGAGGAAGATCCTAAAGAGACCAGAGAGGATGAGATAAAGAACTGTTAGTAGTAAGTCTTTTTATTTCCCATCTTGAGTCCTGAAGTAAAAAGGATGAGGTTGGATAGTGTTAGATACATTAAGGAACTATGTATTGGGAAAAAATATCTTGTCAGTGAAGGTAATTACATTTAAGGTGCAGAGCTGTGGGTGTGGATCAGGCAGGAGCCAGCAATTGCATATGGAGAGATACTTTTGGCCGGGAGTGTCTGTCTTTCCATGAATAATAATTGTTTTCTCAGAGTTCAGTATTAACTTTTATTTCTCTTCCTTGGACAGGAATTGAAACATTTGATCTTGGAGGCAGCAGATGGCTTTCTGTTTATTGTGTCATGTGAGACAGGCCGGGTGGTATATGTCTCTGACTCAGTGACCCCTGTTTTGAACCAGCCACAGTCTGAATGGTTTGGTAGCACACTCTATGATCAGGTACACCCCGATGATGTGGATAAACTTCGTGAGCAGCTTTCCACTTCGGAAAACTCCCTGACAGGTATGAGATACATGGATGGAAAATGAGTGGAAGTCCTTTCTTCTTTTTTCCCCTCAGACAGAAGTGTTTTAACTCTTAAATTTGTTCATTGAATTTGGCAAAGTTGCTGGAATTTTCTTCCTTAATGAATATAACCCATTCTTTTTATTCACATGCAGAAAATATGCTTCGTAGCTAGTTCATCCTTAGAAACTGTTTCATTAGAGACAATGCTCATTAAAAGTTTACTTTAATCTTAATATTAGTGTAAATAAAACAGTAAGCCAGACTTACAATAAACTTTTTCCATTCTAAGAGAATTAAATTATCCATATTTTTGTCTCATTTGTATGGGTAATTATCTGGTATTTTTTCTACTCCCTTGTGCTTGGCTTTGTACTAGATTCTTTGATAATAGATTTTTATTTTAGAGGGTAGTTATCAGTCAGTGTATAAGGTTTTGTTTTAGTTTTAGTTATACTATTTTTCTGTCTCTTTTGGTCCCCCCCCCCCC